ACAATGTTCTCTGGTTGCTACCACTTATAATATGTTCTGCTTTTTTACTTCATTTTCTGTACACAGTAATGTCAGATTTCTGCTAGAATAAGAGGAGAGAAATGAAAGTTTTCATGGATACTATAGATATGGAGAAGATAAACTACAATTTAGTTTTTAAAAACCTTAGTTAAAAAGTAATATTGAATCATTATACAGCTATTTCTTTTGACAACATCTATAGTTCTAAGACCCATAAATACACGTTAAAAATGAACAGAGATTTTTTTTTACTTTGATTACAACTTTAAAGGTACTTGTTCTATGAAAAGGTATACATATAAAATACAATAGATTGTACTTATGACATTATTTATAATAAGGATATGAAAATATAATAATAAATATGACTATAAGTAAACTACTATGTACATGAAATTAGGTGTAGCAATGCCATTTAGCAATCCATCAAGCTTCCTCCAGTTTTGACAAATTGGCACTGCAGATATATATATATGAACACAGGCAGATAGCCCAAAAGATAGAATGGTATTAAGATAAATAGTGAGAGAAGTTACCGGGCTTTGGGGATTTCTTGAAAAATGGAAGAATTTGTCAGATAAGCAAAGACCCTGGATTAGTATCTTTGTCCTAGAAGTAGAAGTGGCAATTGGTCTAGAAACTCTTAGTTAAAATAATACGCTAATTGATTCCATGAGCTTATATAATTAAAAAATACCTAAGACACCAAATATTTTCCTAGACAAGGTGGGGGAGATAAGAACTGGGCTATTTATCCAGCTTGTGATATTATATGTCTAAGAGTTATGCATCAATGAGAAAGGGAATACTACTCACTTAATGAAACAATCCTGGTATGAATGTTTAAGTGATATAATTTGGGGGATTTTTGAGAGTCAGAGAAATTAAGGAATTTGTTCAAGGATTACCCAACTTAACCTACCTGAATAGAATGTTGTTCAGTCTCAAATGTTCATCAACTTTTGGTGATATTGAAGGTCAAAGCAAACAAAAGTAGCTTTATAAAATATAAAAGAAGAAACAGTATTTAAATTTGCTGTTATTAAATTTGATTATAGATTTTTTATAAAAATCTCTTATAGATCTGAGTAAATTGGACAAATGTCTAGACATTACAGAACAGTAACCTCACCTTTAAAGTTACTAAAAGTACCTTAGGAAACAATTTTAATTAAGCCCTTAATAAATCACATAGTGCTGAGACAACAGGTGGTTTTGAAATATTCAGTAGCAGAAGCTTAGATTCCTGTAATATTTCAGTTGTGACATTTGCTTAAACCATTTAGTACTTGTCTATCAATCTTGTGAAGCGGTTGGAATAACAGATATTTATAGACTCTAAGAACCACTCTGATTGTGGACAGATAGAACTGGCTTAATCCTTCTTAGTTACTGAGAGGAATTGTGTCATCATAGATGTGTGGCTATAGGTTAATAAACAGTACAAGAAACATAAAGGTAGGTTGTTTCTTTTCCTTGTGATTTAAATTTATCAACCTACTTTCCACTATGTATTTCCAGAAAGTTTTAGAGAGAAACTTGACAAAGAAGAGGGACACAAACAGATATGCATGTATACACAAACACACACAGAGATTAAAATGTGACTTTTTAAGAAGGTGAGAATACATTAAGGGAAGAAAAAATATGCCGAATATAAAACTCTAATTGTTCTGACAACATAAATTCTGATAACAGTTCACTAAGGCAAAAAAAGGTAACATTTTTAAGTTATATAACTTTTATAATCAGAGAAGGGAAAATAGACTGGCTATTGAGAAAGACAATTATATTCCTAAGTACCAAATTCAGAAAAAAAGGACAAATTTAATAGCAGCAAATTTATAGTAAATGTAGAATCAAAATTCAAAGACCTGTTTCGAATATTCACCTTGATGAATGCCAAGAGCTAAAGTTAAAATGTAAGTCTGACGAGCACCCAGCAAGGGGTTAAAATAATAAACATCAAGGTATTGATTTGGTATAGAGGACTCTCAGGTAGATCTTCAATATTCATTTGACTCAGAAGTAGACATAGAATCCTTAAATGAATCTGTCAAATCATACTTTTAAAATTACATTCTCTCTCTCTCTCTCTCTCTGTGTGTGTGTGTGTGTGTGTGTGTGTGTGTGTGTGTGTGTGTGTTTCCACTTATTAACCAACAATATATTAACTTTGAAAAGCCGGAGAAGCAGGTGCTATGGTTACTTTCTGCTACTGAAAACCAAGAAGGCTGCCAGTTTCCTTCCCTGGATGGAAAGACCCTCTGCTTGCACAAAAGTTGGAAGGATGGCCTATAAATGTACCTCCCTCTTAATAATATACCATTCAACAATTGCACTCATGATGACTGAGGTTTATGGTTATGATGGGTTGAATTGTGCCTTCTTCCCTAATTCATATGCTGAAGTCTTAACCCTAATGCATCAAGATCTGACCTTATTTAAAGATAGGGTCTTTATCAAGTTGAAATAAGGTAATTAGGGTGGGTTTGTACTCCAATATGACTGATATCCTTAGAAAAAGAAATCTGGAGATAGACTTCATTGCAGGAAGAATGCCATGTGAATATGAATATATCTGTGTTTAAGCCAAGGAGAGAGGCCTGGACTAGGCCCTTCCCTCACAGACCTCAGAAGAAACCATCCCTGCCTACACCTTGATCTTGGACTTCTAGCCTCTAGAACTGTGAGACAATAAATGTCTGTGTTCAAGTAACCCAGTTTGTGGTAATTGGTTAGAGTAACTCTAGGAAACTCATGCCATGACGTGAGATAACTTCTAGATTTAAGATTTTTGATTATACACTAGAATAAATCCAAAAATAAATTAAGGTGAAGCAAAAATATAATTTTCTGTTACTATTTATATTTAGTTGTCATTTTCCAATATGCTTGTATAGTTGTAAACAAATATGTATTTCTAAGCTGTTAACCAGATACACATTCTTACATTTAACAAATATCCTTAGGAAATATACAAGAAAAATTTGTGTTGATAACAGTGTTTTCTAAATAAAAATAACCTGATTTTTATCCTAAAATTGTTTTTAAATTTTTTTTTTTTTATTGATTTCAAAGGGGAAGGGAGAGGGAGATAGAAACAATGATGAGAGGGAATCATTGATCAGCTGCTTCCTGCACGCCCCCTACTGGGGATTGAGACTGCAACCAAAGCATGTGCCCAGACCAGGAATTGAACTGTGACCTCCTGGTTCATAAGTCGACGCTCAACCACTAAGCCAAACCAGCCGAGCAAAAAATAACCTGATTTTTATCCTAAAATATCATTATGACTGTGTATACATATATTTTTCAAGCTATTGTTTATGCTTTAGAATCTCCACTGTTTTTCATATTAAAAAAATATCCTTTACCAAAAGATTTTAAATGGTGGAGTATTTTATACTGTCATGTGGTAGAATGTTGAAATGTGATGACAGCCCTTTCTCTGACTTATTTAGATTTTCCCAACACTGAAGGTTTAATAAAGTTATAGTAGGTATTTGTAATTCAAAAAATGTACTGACATCTGATAAACTCATATTGTAAGTAAAATGCTGTGGCTTTTTCTTTAGCTTTTGTATCCAATAAAAATCATAGACTCCTATGAATTTGAGAATTCTCCTATGTATGTTTTTTTACACAGAAGAGAAAACGTGTGTTTTTTCTTTGTCATCCCTTGCCACCCTGATGCCTTCCCTTGGGCCTTGGTAATGTTAATTGCTAGCATTACATCTCCTTTTTAAAATTCAGATCTTGCCCTACTGTGACAGCAAATTATAAGCATTTCTTTTCCAATGTTTATTTAAATTATATTAAATTGTTATATTTAGAATTCTCCTTGCCAAAAGGGGGGCATATAGAAAAATTAGTATGTAACCTTCTTGGACCTAATCCTCCTATACCACTTGTGGGGTTTTCGTGTGCATATAAACTCTTTGTCATTTAGGTAAAAACCGAGTGATTTTACCAAATGACGTTTTTAGGTTTACATGGTTTGATGAGATGGCTATTAGTGGTAAATGTAACTAAAACCAAGGGAGCAATAGTCAGCATACTATTTTAAACTGCCTGGATTCCCCCTCCCCCTCTTAATTTCAATACATTTTATGGTTTGTCATCTGCTGGGATACTTGTTTTCTTAGGCAGCAAGAATCCCGCTCACTAGGTAGCACAAGGAAACTCTCTTAATAGAGAAAAATTCTTGGACAAATGAGGTTGTTGGTTGTCATGAGAACTCATTGGCCAAAAAAGAGAGTCAGCAACCTAGGACAAGGCCTGGCCAGGACCAAAGAATAAGCAATGTCGGCTGGCTTACAAATATAATTCCTCCTCAGAAGCCACTCCCAATGCAACATTCCTAAAGTTACCATTCCTAAGGCAACATTCCTTAAATGGATAGTTTCACTTTGATTAGCACTATGGTCAAAGATTATTAGAATCTGGGCTCTAACATTTTACCCAGTGAAAAGGAAATCTCAAATGTAACTTTAAATTGATTATAAAAATCACTCCAGGGAATAATATTGTCCAAGATTTCATAAACAATTGCATTGAAAAATTGTGTACAATTTTTTTACGCAATCTTTTTTTAAGCCACAAATTTAGCTGTGTCAGAGGTGGCTAGCTGCTCATCAAACACGTGCTTCTCCTTTCTTGGCACAGAGTTACCTTTGGGAAACAGCTATTCATCCACTGACCAAATTTGCCAGTGCTCTCTCCCACCAACATAAACTAGTTTTACCAATGGGATGTGGGCAGAAAGGAAGTGCATCCTTCCAACTTCCTCCATACCCTCTTCCTCTTCATAATGGCTTAATCTCTGGTAACCCACACTAACTCACCAGCCCTCATCTATAATGATTCTCTGACGTGCTCGTATCGGAAGCACAGCCTTACTTTGATGAAGTCTCTCAATATAGAGCTGTGTTGCATTTCTGAAGTTAAATGTGATTCTAGAATTCCTTTACTTTCAGGACCGCCTACCTCTTTCTCCTGAAATCTTAAACAAAGATGATGCCGAGGCCTGAAAAAATGTTGTCTTGCTCAGTTGTCTGAAAGGCGCCAGAGCTACTGACACGTGTGGTCTGGCCCTCTGGACTCAGCTGCTTCCCAGTGCTGGCAGGAATTCCTCCCCTGTCTCAGCTCCCATCACCGGCTCATCACAGAGATGGCCAGATACTCGTCTCTTTTTATCATGACCAAGAATGCTTTGGATTCTTCATGAAACTGACAAACTGTAAATTTAAAAAATTACACCAACTTAGGCTAAAGTAGGGAAAAGAAAAAGGTTGCTTCCCACACAGAATGCCTGTCTTTTGTCCCCACTACTTGTTCCACACCCAGCCATGTCAAACATTTGCAGTAGTTTATGTGGCCATTGTGTTTCTAATCTATGGTGTACTAAGATTTCAACTTCTCATAAAACTCCTTTTTTTTATTAAGTGTGAAAATCAATCTCTGACAGAGAATTTGTAATAAAATTCACTTTATGTTCACCTCAAATGTGCAGCATTTGTGACAATAAAAAAATCTAATATTTGCTTTGTTCTATGAAGTCAAAATGTAATCTGCCTCCAGCCACTTCATGTCCTATTCCAGGGAACGTATACTTGAAAGAAACTTAGGAATAACTGGAGGCAGGGACAATGCCACTGGGTTGCTTTCATATAGAAGATGGTTCAAAAAGTTCAGCTTCATGGGGTTAAAATGAGGAAACAGCAAGTTATTATTCTCAAATTCTTAAGATTTCTGCTGTAAGTGCTTCTTCCTCAGTGTAATAGTGAATCCAGCCAAGCCGAAGAGAACTGGTTTAAACATCATTGCTCCTAAGAGGAAGAAAGGATCATCAGTTTGGTTTTTAAAAGCCAACAGAAATAAAGCGATAAATAAGATCTAACATTTGTGTTCCCTTCTTGCCTGCTTCTCACGACAGCCTTCTGGAGAAGGTGAGGTCACCTTACTCGATTCTATGTTAGAAGTTAGGAGACTTTCACTCAGGTTTTGATTTGTGCAAGTTCTCAGAACGGAAACTAGGGTTAAGTCTGTCCTTTACAGGAGTCCCTGCTTCATATTTAGTGACACTGCTCCAAGTTGGCAGGTCTGCAACAGTGTGGAGAGATGGTGCTCTGTGTAGGGCATACGAACCACTGAGAATATGGTTAGTTGGCTTCATATTGGCTTATTTTGTCTATTGTGGAGTTGTAAAATCTGTCAAATGATATTCAGAGTTTTACATTACTGTAAAGTAAAACCAAGTGTATGTGTGTGTATATATACACACACACACATGTTTCTGAGATAACATAGTTTTAAATTTTGAGCACCTTTTATGGCACAGATACTAGCCAATCAAAATAGGGCACTGGCCAATCAGAATGGAAGTTCATCATAAACAGCCTGTGTGTACAGTTGACCGTCAGCTCTAACACTGATATATAAATAGACTGGGATTCCTGAGGGCAAAGGTGATGCTGGCTTGCTCCTGCTCCGTTCCAGCACCATGCACAAGGCCAGACACTAAATATGCTCTTAATGGAGACTTTTAAATGAATAAATCCATAGGCACTGAATTTTATAATTTTTCTGAAATTATGGGAGAATATACTTTCATGATGGACACTTTAGTGTATTTATGATGAAAGAGTGAACACTGGCTAACAGTGACTGAAAAAATTCTGTGAAAAATAATTCATAAGCTGTGCTTCTGTCCAGGCTCTTATTTTTCAAGGTTAATAGTTCCAAGTTTTTTGTTGGTTGTTATTGTTGTTATTGATTCTATTGTTGACAGTATTACACATGTCTCCCATTTCCTCCTTTTTTGTCCCACTCTTCTCAACTCCACCCCCCTTCTCCCCTCAGGCCTTCCCCATACTATTTATTGTCTGTGTCCATGGATTATGCACACATGCGTATATGTCCTTTGGTTAATCTCTTCCTGTCCCCTCCCACTACCCCCTCCCACCACTGAGATCTCTTATTATATTCCACACATCCATATCTCCGGACCTATTTTTTTTTTTGTCAGTTTATTTTGTTCATTAGATTCCACATATAAGTGAGATCCTGTGATATTTGTCTTTCTCTAACTGGCTTATTTCACTTAGCATAGTAGTGTTTGAATAGTTAAAAGTTTTACAAAATATTTTACTCATCAAAACATTATCATTTATTAAAAATCACATGCTGATGTTCAGACTCTGCTATGAAATTGAAAAAATATTGGCTCTCTCCCCTGCACATCTCTAATACTAGTCCATTACTGGGAGACTGGCCCTTTCCAGTGATGGTGAACCTTTTGAGCTCCGCGTGTCACATATAGAAATTTTTTGATATTTGCAACCATAGTAAAACAAAGACTTATATTTTTGATATTTATTTTATATATTTAAATGCCATTTAACAAAGAAAAATCAACCAAAAAAATGAGTTCATGTGTCACCTCTGACACGTTTGTCATAGGTTCGCCATCACTGGCAGGAGCAGGCACCACTGGACGCTGTTTCTGCCACAGACCCTTCAAGTCCCCTGGCCACCCTCTGGATTCCTGCTCTCAACTGTTTCATAGTTCAGTGATATAATTGTTTTATAAGCCTTTTGCACGATTTCAATAAGAGCATTTCCCCATAATGTTTCTAGACGGAATTCTGTTTAAAAGTATCTTGAAATTTAATAAGAAATCTTGTTCTTTACATGCGACAAAGCTTCCACCATCAAAAATAGGTGCAGGAAACAGCGTAGGAGCTATTTTTTTTGTTTTAATTAGTATAACAAAGCACACAAGTAGGACAGTCTACTTGTAAATTGATGCAGATTTAAAAAGAATTAACAGCCATGTAAATAGTTGAGATAATTGCACTTCGACAATAAATATTTCTGTGAAAAATGTGGAAAACACATGTAAATTTAGTTTTTAAATATTCTGGAAAAAATTTAGGGGAAATTATTTGCATAACTTCCAGTAATATAACAAATTTCTAAGGGAAGTGTACTTACTGTTAACATTTTCTTTAACTTTAGTACACTCAGAGATACAATTAATCTGTGGGGAGAGGCTGTTAAGATCATGTAGTCGCCAGGTGCAAATGATTTTCTGACCTATATTTGTTGAGTTTTTATAAAATAGATTGCAACAGAGAGGGATGCCCCCTCTTAGAAGAGGCATTTGCTGGCTATACTAGTAATGTATTTTCCAGATTTACAGAACTGGTCCTCCGTCTTGCAATCACATGTCTGCTTTTTAAACTCAGGCTTTTTCTTTTTTTTTCTTTTTTTTTTTAGTGAAATTGAGTGCAAACTGAATCTTTGTGTCTTTGTTTAACTCCTGCTTTCAACGGTATGGCTGGACATTAAATATACTTTTAAATATGCTGCCAACATGAGCAGCCACTCCATATTTACTTAGAATGAATTGGGTCTGTCATGGACGGAATTGTGTCCCGACCCTCAATCATATGTTGAAGTCTTAGTCCTCAGTGCACTTGGAGATTAGGTCTGTGAGGAGGTGAGTGAGGTTAAACGAGGTAATAAGGGAGGGGCCCTCTTTCCACAAGACGCGTGTCCTCACCACATAAGAGACACCAGAGATCGCTCCGTCCATGAGCACACGGAGGAAAGGCCATGTAACTCGACGGCCCGCACTGAAAACTCGGCAGTGGCCTCCCGTTCACACATGAGCTGTGATTCTCCGCTGGATCTCCAAATAATTTTGGAGGCCGTTTGTTCACACATGGTTTGAAAAGTTACAGGAACACTGATGTGCAGCAGATCCAGACCACAGGTATTTGGTCATCACTAGAAACAGATTGACCAGCGGGAATTTCCCAATTTCTTTTTTCTTCAAAGCAGCTGTTTGCTTCTAAGTGCTCAGTCACATTCAGTTTTGTTTACTAATTTGTCTTTTCGGATAGATCACTGCGGTAGCCACCGTGAAGAATTCCTATAAAGAAAATCAGACTTGCCGACTTCATTTTGATGACACACATATTTATCTGAAAAACCTTCCAGAAACCTCACCTGAAGTGGAGTGTAGGAAAACAGAAAAGGTGTAAACTTGTAGTTAGAATAGGAGCAAAGGACAAAGGAAAGGTATCTGTTAAATTTTGGGGAGTGGGAGTCTGGGTAGGGAACCATGAGGCAGGGAATTTTTCTTTTCTCTTTAATAGACTTTTAAAACTATTTTGAGTTTTGTTGTTAGAAATAGGTGTTTTATTTTGATAAGATACCAGTTAGATGTAAAGAAATTATGAGCACAGGCCTTGCCTTTAAGGAGAGTCGGTAAAATACGCAATGCTTAATTCCTTCCTTGGGCATTTCTTAAGTTGTGAGAATCTGAATTAGACACCATCTAAGAGGCAGTCACTCTGGCACTGAAGCTGCTACTGATGCACAGGTTGTTGTGTCTTCCAAGTAGTCATCAAAACCCAAATCCTGCCACTTCTCCCATGCTTCATCTAGGAGTAGTTCTCAACCTGTGGGTCGCGACCCCTTTGGCGGTGGAACGACCCTTTCACAGGGGTCGCCTAAGATCATCCTGCATATCAGATATTTACATTACGATTCATAACAGTAGCAACATTATAGTTATGAAGTCGCAACAAAAATAATTTTATGGTTGGGTCACAACATGAGGAACTATATTTAAAGGGCCAGAAGGTTTAGAACCACTGGTAGAACAGCTTCATACCTGTAACAGCTCTTCTGGTTCTGAGACCCCTCGGCCTCCCATGCAACCTCCAGCAGAGGACTCGGCCAACTTAGTGTTGGCTCTTCTGTGGGCGAGATGGGTGGGTAGCCAGGGACCTGCAGTGGTGGCTGTCTCAGAAGCAAAGGCACTCTCCCTGCTGTGGATGGCCTGCCCCTGCTCCTAATCTCTTGCTACATGCAGTCCTGGAAACACATCTCAAAGAGGCATTTGTCACAAGTTAAATTTGTAGTCACAACTCATCTTTGTTGAAATATAACTTTCCCCAAGAGTGTCTAAGTCTCCTCAATGGAAAACACTTAATATTGCCACTTTTAGGTTAACACTAATTCAAAATAGCTGCTTTCAATGGAGTATATTAATTCAGGATATAAAAACATCCTTCTTTTCCGGGTGATTTTCCCTTATCCAGCGGCTTGTAAGGGGAAGTGTATGTACCAGCACTGTGCAGGGACCTCAGTGATCTCTCCCTGCAACAAGACACTCCCCTTAGTTCCTACTAGTGCTGTAGGTCTTTAGTCTTGACTATGTCTTTCATCCTTTCGCTGGAATACCTAGCTCTTCAGTATAGGGTTTCCAGATACTGTAAATAAAAATACAGAATGCCCTTGTAGTTACAAAATCACAGCTTGGAGCATGTTTGGTGCTGCAGCAGTGTTTAGTGAAGTGGACAGGTACCCTCTGTACACTGAGACACAGTGGAGAGACTCTGGGGGCCGTGGTATTTGAGACACTGGGTTTAATAATCATGGTTCTTGGCACTGCAAGAGCATCAGAAGGACACTGGGAGTGACCACATACTCACCTGGGAGAGCAGCAGCCACCAAAGATCAGAGGCT